AATAGAGTACATCTTGATATTCTGACATAACTTGGATTGATCTTGACTGAGTTATGAATTTTGAATTTTACTCAAAAATAGGCAGAAATGGGATATTTCACCTAATGTACGTTTTCACTAAGTTTTTAAAACTGTTTAGAAAAACAAATATTGCGACGAGATTCAGCATAGTCGGTAACCTATGTTTTCATTCATTTCTGACACTCTCAAAACTAACGGTAGAGGAGTCCTAAGGCTTCGAGGAAAATGCCCGTAGCTCCCGAACCATGAATTTTCGAGATGTCGCTTGGATCTGATTTTGTAGAGAACACCTTTGACTATCCATATATAAAAAAAAATTGATAGATTCCTATATAAAACTTTGGAGCTATAAACTGGTTTTCCAGAGATCCACTTAGAAATCCTCCAGATATCAGCGCAAAAAATTTTGATTTCTGCATATTATTACGTGTCTCGGTCTCGACTACACGGTGGAGAAGATCCGATCTCGAGAGCTTTTTCCGTTCTCGAGTTATTCATGTCGCAATCACCCAAACTATATTTTGAAATGGATAGTAGTACTTGAAGCTCTTGAGATATGTCCTGATTTTTCAAAGATCTCTTAAAAAGCCTGCTTTTGAAAAAGATTCTTGAATTCTTTTCTGTTTAGAAAAGTGCACTCCAGTCGTTTCTTTGCTTAGCATTCTTCACTAGCTGCATCATCATTAATTCAGTTGTTGGTGACCTCGTCGTCGTCAGATGAGCATTTCTGTGACGAAAGCGAAATGCCATCCTGTGCCATGGAAAATATAAGACATAGATTAATAGTCTAGTGGTTGACATTCTTCACTAGCTGCATCATAATTGAGTCGGTTGTTGCTGCCCTCGTGGTCGTCAGATGAGTATTGCCATATGGTGAAGGAAATTGGAAGAACTTGAAATGTTAAGTAAAAGCTTCACTTTTCTGCTCAACCATCTCGTAGAACACTCCTAAAGTCGTATTTTGTAAGTAAAAATCCAACGAATTGTGAAAAATACAATGTTATGTTTGTATAACTCATATTTGATCCGTTGGAATTCTATGGTTAAGAGTTGTATTTTGGAGAGATTATTTTTGAAAATGTTTTTTATGAAAATGAAGCTCACGCAAGGAGTAATCATTTCTGAAAGCCGCTAACGTGTAGACTTCTTCATTTCTGAGATATGAGTACTTTTGTATAACAAGTATGTCGGTTACAAAAAACCTCTCTGAGTTTTTCCTATTTTGCTCTTATTTAAGTGGTCTAAAAAATTAGTAGACATAGCTGGAAATGTAGAGGGGACGACGAGGAATCCGAATCTGGTCTCAAAATCGCCGAGAGAGCTTTCGATCAGGAGATATAATCAAAACAAGAAAACAAGTCTACATCAATGTATGTAGAGACAAATGGTGTACGTTTGGGGTGCGGCAGAGGTCAGATCTCAAAAATTTTGTATCAAAATGTTCCTCGTCATGTAAGCTATTGCAATATATAACATTATATATAACATTTACAAAACCAAACGTATTGGAATCAGCAGAAAAATTACATGAGAATAGCGGTCAAACATGGATGTTTTGCTTATAATTCGTTCACGGTTAAACATAGAAAAGTCGTACTTGCAGCGATTATAAGCCTAACGTTGTTGAATATATGCGAGAAGTCCGAAAGTGATTCATCAATGGTAAGAAAAGAAACGCTTGGGATCATTTACTTTATTGGAACGGTACTATTTTTATCAGAATCACTCGTATATGTGTTTTAGTTTTAGTACCGATACATGCACATCTGTGCTTTATAGCTATCGGTGGCAGCACTATCCGTACCGTAGGCAACATTAGCTGAAAATCATTATCCGTTACAAACTTTGTTTATTCCACTCCAAAATTTTTGAACCGTCTTAAAAGCTTTTGAAAGATAATGCAGATGATGATAAAGTTTTCATGTAATGCATATATGCACTGAAACCTCGTGTGAACAAACAGGAAACAGTAGATTCAAGTGTAATCGACTAATGACTTTATATGACCAATGATGATGCACTGTCAGAAAAGCGAAGTTACTGGATCACATCACATCATGTCACTGTGAAACTTGACATCAGAAAAGTGAGTGGCCATGCCATTCACTTTTCTGTATTGTACAACAAGGGTAGTGGATGAATCTCCTTTGTTTATCGCTCATCACCTGCTTTAGCCGATCAAAAGTGTTATTCTACTGAGTGACCAGTAATCCACTCTTGTAGATGGCACTCTTTAAATTAACTTTTCTGAGGCAATGCATAAAGGAATGTCGGTGCTTAATAAAAAGGATTCTGTTCAAAATCTAATATAAACTTAATGTAAAACCTGATAAAGAAAAATAGCTAATGAAAAAATGATCCTATTTTCTGCCACAAGCAAGAGTGGATCCAACTAGTCTTTAGTATGGAAAAACAGCTCTTGAAAAGTTGTACAATACTTTGAGTAAACAAACTCCACATATCATTGCCCCAATCCATTACAATTCATATACTAGAAAAATCAAGGAAATACACACAGATTTTGCAGTTTTCATCATCAAATTTCAATTTTTTCTCAAAGCCAACATCATATTTGGAATCAGCATTAAAAACTACATTCAACAGTCTTTGTTTCGGAATTTTTAGACAACTTTGATTTTTCTCGCATTCTTGGACCGAATATGATCACTCAAGCATGGTCACTAGATAAGGGATGTTTGAAAATAACCATCTCCTTAATAATATAGTTCGTAACTATGGCTCATATACCATTTTGTTCATTTTTTCATTGGTTATTTTTCTATATCAAGTTTTACCGTAAGTTTGTGATAAATCATAGCATCTTTACCAGTCAATATACCACGAGCTGTGACATTATATATCACCAAAATCATTGAGTAACTATTGAGACATCGCATCTTTTATCAGTAAATAACTTATAAAGTTTTCTTGCAGTACATTGAAAAATTTTGACACAGCGATAGAACTGTACTGTGCCTGCGGATGGGTTGTGACATCTGAACCATGATCTTGGAATCTTGAATAAACGTTCAATTCTATATGGACATCTTTTAAACGTCTACTGAAGTTTTAGAAATTTTATACAATTTTGACTAATAGTAACAATATTTAATCACGAAAAGTGAGAGTCATCAAAGGTCCCTGACCTATAATAACAATGCCTCAAGTTAAACAGTAAAAGTCGAAGCGATGAATAGTAAACAAAATAAGAAACCACAGAAAAAGCGAACAGATAGACAAAGGGAAAATAAAAAATGAACAATGTAAATAAAATAGGTAAAAAGAAAAAGAAAACCAATAGAGTTGACTAAGAACATGGCAGAAAGTTACTATGAAAGATATTTTGTAAATAATGTTTTGAACGAAGGCAGAGAAGAAAGACAAATAATCGATTCTGGAAGTTTATTCAAGAAAATTTATACGATAAATTTGACTTGTACGCGCGAAGTACGATGTAAACTTCGACTGAACGGTTTCTCGATCACACCAGGTGTATCTATGTCAAACATAAAAAATGATCCAGACGCGAAGGACTCTAAATGATGTGTAAAACAAAACAGTAGTATGTAACAAATAAATCTTGTGCTCATGTGCTTCATGTTCTTTTTACTCTTATATTTGTTCTGTTGCTTATTTCTTTCGTCTCTGTCTTATGTTTGTCTCTTTTGTATGACTTGAGTCACTGTTATTGAAGGTCGGTCGATGATTTTTGACATGAATAAACTAAACTTACCCAGTGGGTTTCTCAAATACAATTGATAAACTAATAATATGTTGTTTACTTTTATATATTTCAGATTAATTTCATAAATTCACAAAAAACTTTTCTTATTAATTAAATCTTTATAATTCTATTTAAATATAACTGCATTTACTTTCTACTCTATTTAACAGCATTTACATTTAAGTCAGAACATAAGATTGTTATTTTAAGTTAATCTAGAATTTTAGAACTGTCTTAACTAAAATAAAATGATGTTAACTTAAAGCTATTGATCAGAATCCCCATCAAGATTTATCAGAGTTCCCAATTAAAATGATAAGTGTTGTACTTACTTAAATAAAATAAACTATAATATTAATATACAGTCATGTTTGATTGGATTAATAAATTGTTTATTTTTTCATAAATTTGCTGATATTTTTTTGCAGCGTATTATTCTAATATCCTATGAGCAATGTTACTAATGGAGGAAAAAATATCAGCAATTGACAGAGAATGTTGATTCGATATTCTAAAGTTTACGTACACAATTATCGAAATCAGAAGCGACAAAGTCGAATGCGCATGTATTCGTTGTATTCGGCATCTCATTAAGATAAACTAAGCAGTATACAACAATGATAAGAGTCCACCATGTATCACAGTTTGATCTGTCAAAAACGAAAACGTGTTCAATATTGTGGTAGTTATTTGTACTTGCTAGTCGTCATACCTGTTGTTAAGATGTCCATATAGTCGAATGCAAAGCTTTCTGTCTGTAAAAAGTTATATTGTATTTTCAATTTTTTTTATCATTTCTTTACATACGATCACTGGATTTTTACATGATTGAGGTTAGCATTGTAAGTGTTGTGATGAAAAGCTGATTCGAATTGTCAAGAGAAGAATATCTGTGGTCTTACTGTCCAGTATGTATGGTTTAAATGCCAGATAAAAAACTTGTAATTTGACGTTGTCAAATGCTTTCTTTCTTATTCTGTAGATTTAAACTTGCATGAAAATTTCAGTAATTAAATATATTTTTTGTTTCAGATTAGATATTTTCTCCAAAATAAAAATGACATCATTTGAACACCATCCATTTGAAATAAAAACGAATGGTATGCACGATGATTTATTACTTCCACTTCAAAACGTTGATCCATCATCTCATCCACCTCCATTTCTTCAACCTCAACGACAATCATCACCTCCTCCGTTTTATCTGTTGAGTCAATATCCAATTGAACAGCCCCCTACGGGTAGTACGAATTTAATTGAGCATTTTAATTTAAAACGTGACTTTGAAAAATATTGTAATAAACAAATTAAACCGTCATTGAGAGATTTTTTACCCAACATAAGTTATGTTGATACAGCACAATTGAAAGACGATGCCAATAGTGGAACATTACGAGCATTATTAGTTGAGCGTATCATAGTAAATCCAATTGTACCACTGACAGAAACACAATTGTTATCATTTCGTTTACAAAAACAACCTTATCTTCCTGAACAATATCAAATATTTACCATGCCAAGAGAAACACGTTCAACAACAACAGTACCACTAACCACAACGACTGATTATTCTCAACAGCAGCAGCAACAACCACAACGCATTTCGCCCGATGTAAAACGAAAAGCATCATCATCATCGGATGGTGGTGGAGGACCAGTGAATAATCCTGTTTTAGTTAATAAACAAACAATTTCACCATACATGAACGGCGAAGGGCTGTTAGGAAGAATGACATATCCAGTTATAACTCCATCAAATGCCAACAATATTAACGATCCAAATAATGATCAGGATGATGTGAATTTAAACAAAAGAAAAACAAAAAAAACTAAAAAGGATAAAAGGTTATAAATAGTATTTTTTTATAAATTGATGTAAATAAAAATAAAGAACTGATTTTCCAATTTTATGTTATATTTCAATAGGTCAAACAGGAGATGAGTTCTGCTAGATTTTAAATATTAGATAAAAAAGAGCATTAGTAGTGTTCACACTATAACAATATGTTTTATTTACTAGATAATAAAAAGCAAAATCAGTCTCCTCATGTTCTTATGAGTTGATAGAACGTTAATTAAATAATACTATTTACACTACTGCAATTTTCTTTACACTTGTTTATTTCAGATAGAACTTGCTTTTTTTTCATTCCTATAAAAGCAAAGAACATAATGACTAGTCATTTCGATAAATTGCCTAAAGTTCGAGATGTTGAACGTGAGTCACAGTACGGTTATGTTTATGCTGTATCGGGTCCGGGTATGTAACATTGATCTTTTTTAAATGACAAAGAAAAACAAACATTTTGTCGCTTTTATAGTCGTTACAGCAAATAAAATGGCTGGTTCATCTATCAATGAACTCGTTCGAGTCGGTCACGAAGAACTGGTTGGCGAAATCATCCGTCTAGAAGGAGATTTAGCAACAATTCAAGTGTATGAGGAAACGTGTGAGTATTAACTATTTACTTTTTATGACTAAAACAACTATTTCGTTTTTTCAGCTGGTGTCACTGTTGGTGATCCGGTATTACGTACCGGAAAACCTCTATGTGTAGAATTAGCACCTGGTATTATGAGCAGTATTTTTGATGGTAAAACTTAAGATTAGAGTTATACGTATTGATGAGTATCAATTGATTTGCATGTTTTAGGTATTCAGCGGCCGTTAGAAGTTATTTATGACACAACAAAGAGCATCTATATTCCAAGAGGTGTTAATGTGCCAGCACTCCGTCGTACATTGAACTGGACCTTTATTCCAGAGCCTCGCCTAAAAGTAAGAACAAAACATTCTTGATTGGATGCATATTTTTGTTATTCTACTTTAGGTCGGTGGTCACGTAACAGGAGGAGATATATTTGGGATGGTACCCGAAAATACATTAATTAAACATAAGATTATGTTACATCCAAAAGCAAAAGGAACAATTCGATTTTTGGCAGAAACTGGCAATTACACACTTGATGTAAGATATGATATCAAAAGTAGTTGTTTCAATAATCCTGATTAATATTTTTTGTAGGATGTTATAATGGAGACCGAATTTGATGGTGAAATTACGAAACATAAAATGTTACAAGTGTGGCCTGTAAGACAATTGAGACCAGTAGCAGAGAAACTGGCGGCAAATTTTCCACTATTAACTGGTCAACGTGTATTGGATTCATTATTCCCGTATGTAATTTGACCTTTTAACATCAAAATTGATGTTTATTATGATTTGATATAGATGTGTACAAGGTGGAACGACCGCCATTCCTGGAGCGTTTGGATGTGGAAAAACTGTCATATCACAATCATTATCAAAGTTTTCAAATAGTGACGCTATTGTTTATGTTGGATGCGGTGAACGTGGCAATGAAATGTCTGAAGTACTAAGAGATTTTCCAGCGGTAAAAAATATTTTACTTTTTAAAAAACACGTTGTATGTACTTTCCTTGCTTTTGTTATTTGGTATACAGTCGCTTACATATTTGGTCCTATTATGGGTTCGAGATAGGTGAAAGCTCACTTTGATACGTGATATTGTCTATTGTAGATTAATCTGTATTTTTATTGTTCTAGTTAACAATGGAAGTTGAAGGCAAAGAAGTGTCTATAATGAAACGTACAACACTTGTAGCAAATACATCGAATATGCCTGTTGCTGCACGCGAAGCATCAATCTATACTGGTTAATATTTTTTTCGGTACCATTATTAGCAAGCTTTCATTTGATTTTGAACTATTCTTTCAAGGTATAACTTTGGCAGAATATTTTCGCGATATGGGCTATAATGTTGCAATGATGGCCGATTCTACATCACGTTGGGCCGAAGCTCTAAGAGAAATATCGGGACGTTTAGCAGAAATGCCAGCTGGTTTGTACTATATCTTTTTTTTCGTTTCTGTACTTGTTAGGCAAGAGCTTTTTCGTTTCATTTAGATTCTGGATATCCAGCATATTTAGGTACACGTTTAGCGTCATTTTACGAACGTGCTGGACGTGTTCGATGTTTGGGAAATCCAGGTCGTGAGGGTTCAGTTAGTATTGTTGGAGCGTAAGTTACGTGTATAATTCTTTGGATAAATAACGAAAATTTAATCTGAAATTAATCTCTTCCAGTGTTTCTCCTCCTGGAGGTGATTTTGCTGATCCCGTCACGTCTGCTACACTGAGTATCGTCCAAGTATTTTGGGGTTTGGATAAAAAATTAGCGCAACGAAAACATTTTCCATCTGTTAATTGGCTTATTAGTTATAGTAAATATACACGAGCATTAGATGATTATTATGATAAACATTTTCCGGAATTTGTCCCATTACGTGCTAAGGTATGTTTTTAAACAACACTATGTTTCTGTTATTGATGATATCTTTTTAATTTTAGTGTAAAGAAATTTTACAAGAAGAAGAAGATTTAAGCGATATCGTGCAACTTGTTGGAAAAGTGAGTTCATTTATTCTCTTATTACTATTGTGTAAGTGTTTTTTTGTATATTAGGCATCATTAGCGGAAACGGACAAAATAACATTAGAAGTAGCACGAATGATTAAAGACGATTTTCTACAACAAAATGGTTATTCTTCTTATGACAAGTGAGTCTGATCAATCCATTTCAACGTAGTGAACAAACTTTAGTTTTAAGCGTGTACTCTGCAATTTCGCGTTCAGTATCGTATATATTGACATTCTTTGACTTTTTGACGTGTATATTCATCTCTCTTCTAAATTCACAGTCATATTAGCCTGCTGATGATACTGTGAAGTATCGAAAGCTCGTTTCTTGTGTAAAATGATTTTACAAAAATGTTTTTCAATTATTTTAAATATACTCAGTATCGTATGTCTTAGAAACTAAAAACAAGCTTTTGTCAATCGATAATGATATCTATCATGATTCAAAGTCACGTTTATATTTCACAAATAGCTTATAGATGTCATTTTTGTTTTATTGAGAACGGCAATATTCAAAATAATGAATATTCTTACCTAACGTTTGAAATTTTTTTGTAATTTTATTGCTTGCTTTTCATATGTTTTATAAGGGATAGTCAGAAGTTTAATATTGATGATAATTATTACGTTTTATTTAGATTTTGTCCATTTTATAAATGTGTAGCCATGTTACGTAATATGATTGCATTTTACGATATGGCGCGACATGCTGTTGAAACAACAGCACAATCGGAAAAAAAGATAACATGGGCAGATATTCGTAATCATATGAACGATATTATTTATCAATTGAGTAGTATGAAATTTAAGGCATGTGTATATGAGTAAGACGAATCAATGTATTTTATACTTATTTCATCGTTTATATAGGATCCAACAAAAGATAGTGAAGAAACGATTAAACGTGATTTAGAAGATCTGCATGATAAAATGTCAAATTCGTTTCGTGAATTAGAAGAAGCTTAAGATTTGATTTTATTAAAACCCTTATTTACTACCAATACTTTTTTTCTGTGTACCACATATTTTTCTCGACCTATCGGACCATTTATTTTTTTTTGTGTGTGTGTGTAGGTTTTATAATTTATTTTAAACTTATTTATTTTTACCATGTGTCGTACATAGCCTGAGAACAAAACTATTTTTATTTTTAGGTTGCTCTGTGATTGCAATAGAATGCAAGTTTTAAGCTTAATATGCATTTTTTTTCTCCAATAATGTTTGTGCAATATTCTTTTTCTCTTTCATTTGTACAATGCAAGATATTGTATTGTTGGACAACCATTATGTAGTTGGTGTTGTTCGTAGAATTGTGATATTTATTCAAAAATCTATTTTCTTATTTGTCCTTTTGTCAAACCATTACACCGATTTTCTTTTTTCTTATAGAATTTCGAACTATTTTTTATGTATAAAATATGTAATCATATGATTGTGTATGTGTTGTAAAACGTCTTCTCTTGATACAACAAGTAAAGAGAGTAGTTGACGTTTGCAACTAGGAAGGATACTATATGTTACATGTCAATAATCCCCATAACGTAAGGAAAAACGTATTATACTTAAAGTAATAAAAATTATATTATCCGAAAGATCTCTTGTACGTTAGATATCAGAAGTTGTATGTCATTTAAGACATTATCTACTATGGTAGATATAACAAACATTGTCTGATACTTGCCGTTTAGGACTGAAGAGGCGAATTAGAGAAAAAGTAATTCAATAGCTTTGCGCAATTTTATATAATGTAACATATAACAGCATTTAACTTGTCTAGGCTTATAGTTACTTTCAAACATAGAAAAATGTATCAGAAATGAGGTTAGATTTTTTTCATTCTCGTAGATTTTGTATCTCTGTTTATTTTCAAACTCGAGTCAGAGACTGTCATCAAAGTTTGGTACATAGACGCAGAAAATGAGATTTCTTTATTTACTGTTCATTTTTTGTAAATTCAGTTCGAAAATATGATAAACGTTAAAAATTTAAATGTGACGTTTTAGATCATAGGTAGCGCTAATTTTTTTTTTATAAAGAAGCTTATTTATCGAGCGTTTTTAAATATTGTTTCGGTTCGACATCGCAAGAAATCTAAATTGTTTGATCAGATGATGTGATTATCTTAAGTTCCGTCTCTAAGAATAGCTACAAACATTTGTAAAAACTGGATACATAAAAATTAGTGTATGAGTGTTTTGTTTGTTTTCAGACAATGGTTGAAGAAATATAATGAATATTCATGTTACCATCTGGTCAATTCATTGAAGTAAATTTAACGTATAAAAAATTAGAAATTTTAAGACGAAATCGATGTATTTGTTTGGGAAATAACGAAGCAATAATGTTTTGATGGTCTCCAATCAATATAGTGTATTAGCGAAACGAATGCCAATATAAAACAATTAAATTATTCAAACTTTCAATCGATAGAAGCACCTACTATGATATAAGAGACATTTGGTCAGTCGTTTTAGAACGATGGATAATAAACGACCGATTTTAAAAAGTTGATAATAGCAATAAAGACTTAATTATGTGACATGCAGTACCCTTCAATAGACAACAGCTTATACGTTACTTATGATCGACAATAATCAAGAGGTCATTCATGATAATCAACATCGAATTTCTAAAATTAAACAGCATTTCATGAATGAAAGTTTACAAATTTTGTTTTGTTTATTAGCTTATCTTGTTGTTTTTCAGTCAGATGACTGATATTCAAATAAAATTTGTTTCAATTCTATTTAATATCTATTACTCTTAATGGAAATGAAAGATGTCTTCTATGACGATTTTTACACAAAAAAAGTTTCTCAGAGTTTAAATTAACTATGTATGGCATTTTTTCTTATAGATATGTCAACTGTCGAGAAGAAAAAAATAAAAGTAAAGAAAACTAAGATTGTAAAACAACAACAATGTACTTCTATTCGAAAGTAATTGAAGAATATTCTCTAGTGTAAATTGTACTAATATTTGTTTTTATTTTAGTATTCGTATTATTGATGATGATCTCGATATTCCTGCTACATCAGCCGATAACGTTGATAGTGCAATGTATGACGATCTTCTGGGTACTGAGGAAACGCCAGTTATTGTCGGTATGTTGTTGTTTTTTGTGATTTTTTGTGACAAATTATAGAGAATCTAAATATTTTTATCCATTTTAGGCTTAGTTGATGATCGTCCATCGTCTATTCAAGAAATCGAAAGATTTAATGATCAAAAACGTTGGCGTAAACTTATGTCCGAGGATACGTCAACTCAAAAATCTTCAAACAATAATAGTCACAAGAGCAAGAAAAATCGACGAAAATCTTCAGATAGTGATCCAGATCTTGAAAGACAACGACCATCGTCTGTAGCAATCAAAAAAGAACCGATTGATCTTGATCTAAGTCCTCCAAGACAGCGAAGATTAAATACAGACGACGATCCATCTCCACCAAGACAGCGAAGATTAAATACAGATGACGATCCATCTCCACCAAGAAAACAGCGATCAAATACAGATGACGATCCATCTCCACCGAGACGCAGACGTCCTTTAACTAATAGTAAAGATCCTTCTCCACCGCGACAGAGACGCCCATTAGCTGATTCTTCTCTTCCAAGACAGCATTCTTCGAACAAGAATCGAGATCATTCATCTGAAAGAAACAACAAATCGCATCACCATCATCATCACCGAAACCACACATATTCCCATGATGAAAGAAAATCAAGAAATAACAAGGATGACAATAGAGAAAGACAAAGAAAACGAAGTAGATCGAATGAGCGACCTCAATCAAAATTGAACAATAAAAATGATCAGAAGAAAACAGTTGAAGAAACAAAAGAAGTGATAGCTGATCGTTATCAACAGTGGGGTCGCGGATTAGCACAAGTGAAGGAACACGAAGATACTGTAAAAGACTTTTTAGAGCAATCTGAAAAACCATTAGCAAGATATCGCGATGATAAAGATTTAGAAAGCATGTTAAAAGAACGAGAACGTGAAGGTAAGTTTTTTTTAGAAGCACAAAAGAAATATGATCTATTCTCGATATGACTAAAATTAGACAAAATATTTTACTGAAATTAACTATCATTTGTTCTATTTAGATGATCCAATGCTGAAGTTTCTTAGTAACAAAAAAGAAGGTACTCGTCCAGGTGAAATAAAACAACGTTATAAAGGACCAGATCCGCAAAAGAATCGGTAAGTTGTTAAATACACTCACTCATTTACATGTTTGTTGTTGACATTTACACTTTATAGCTTTGATATTTGGCCCGGTTATCGATGGGATGGTGTCGATCGTTCAAATGGACATGAGAAAAAATTATTTGAAATGATTGCAAGTCGACATGCACGATCTGAAGAAGCCTATTTATGGAGTGTAGAAGATATGTAAACACTATGTGGTGTTTCTTTTACGTTCTTGTTTCCATTTAATTCTGAACACAATTGTTTATTTTGTACAAATCTTTCTTGTGTATTCAAATGATTATTAAGACTACGATCGTCGTATTTAACTAAGTAAAAAAGTGATATTCATTGTCTTGAACATATTTACAAACAGACATATATTCGAGTAAAACATTTTCAGCAGTGAAAAACCCTGAGAACTTCTTCCAGCGGCGGAGAATACAATCTGGTCCTCGACGCGTTGAATCTCTTCAAAACTTATTGGAACAAGGGTGGATTTTTATGCAGAAATGTCAACTTTAATAACACACCAACAAAAAGAATTAGAAAAAAACCTGCCCCATACGGGTTTATTGTGTGGTTCTGGAAATTCATTGAGGACGAGCACCCACAATTCAAATATATGTAGAAGAGTGAGGATGAAGAACTAAGGACCGCTCTTTGTACTATAGTATTTGCATTGAATGTACATCATAATCATGAAAAAATAATCATCCTATGATTCCAAAAAATGTATGTGAAACTTTTTTCAGAAAGATTAGACATTCACCTCTAACCTTCGCTTATTTTGCGCCCTTTTCACTCCCCATATATTTTCAAGCAAAACTAATAACATATTTGAGATCAGCAGACAAAACTGGGTCATTCATTTCATTGAATAATCAATACGTAGTATTTACGAAAGCTACTGAGAGCGCAAAATCTCAGGAGGCGAATTCGCGTCGCCCGTACTCAAAGGGTTAACCGATTCATACCAGAGACGGAATTGGTTCTTGTTTTTCTGAAACCGAATCGAACTGACAAGTTTCCAGTAGGAATTTATATACGTAACATGTTTTAAAACAATGTTTTACTAAAAACATCAGAACTTTTTTTCACGAATCAAACCCAATCCAAATGAATCCAAATCGCACCGAGCCGAGATGATCTAATTTTCTCCAAACAATCGAACCGACCACATATTATCTCTATAAAAAATATCAGAATTTTTTCATTGCAAATTAAATCTAATTAATCTAACATAAAAATAATGGTCTTAGTCGTGAAGCCTGAAAAATTTTCTTACTTGATAATCTCGTTCATGATTTAGCCCTGAGCTTTCGTTCAATATGCAATTCAACTTCTTTTTGTGTCATTTGGTTCGGGAAGTCATACAGCAGACTTCAGAATCTAAAACGGACAAGTGTTTATGCTCACTAAGATATTTTTCTCACTAAAAGTTTCAAACAAACATATTTTTATTTAAAAGCGTTTGAGAAAGAAATAAAAAACGCATTTTTGTCCGTTTATTTGAAGTATCATTTTTTTCAAGGTTTTTCAAAAGAAAAGTGGGATGAAACACGTTATTCGAGATCTGATTCGTTGAAAACAGCCGCATTGGGTGATCATCAAATGTTTCAAATCATTTTTTTATATTCGACTGTGAGAATTTTGTGTTGAGAAACCTTTAAGCATACCTAAAATCTAAATTTCAGTTTTTGAAATTTGACGTTAAAGTAAAATAACATCAAAAGAAGTCCTTGAGCAAACAATTACATCCAGAAATGGGTAGCTGTGGAAAATGAGAGAAAAGTTATTAGTTGACAGATCGACTGACATTGATCCGATTGGATTTCAAATAGTATCCGTCTTGTGATACCATGATACAATTGATTTTCGTTCGATGGTGAGAGAAGTGCAAAAGAGAATTTGATAGATTTATTAAATACCTAAAGTATCCTTATAATCAAATAAGTATACGTTCTAAAATTTCAAAATAATTGACTAGTACATTAGGTTAGAAAAGTTCATGATCTAGTAGATGCCATGGTCCACGTTTGCCATTAATGTATTGTTAAAAAGTTCTTTATATAACCTCAAATATTATGTTTAATTAGATAGTAATGGTATATTGAGAAATCGATTAATTTTTGAGAGGAATAGATCTATTAAAATTTTATCAGTATCTCATAAACAATCGTTACTTCATAAAACAACTTCAATATTCGATATTCAAAATAGATTGTATTCTCTCGGTCGGTTATTTCCAGAAATAGAAAACTATCGTCAACGCTTTAATCCAGTATCAAACAGAGTAACATTTTTATATTTTTCTCTCAAACAGCTTCCAGAAACAGTTGTTGTTAACATAACCGTTATCGAATGACAACATTCACCAAATTATACAAGCTTAGAATCTCATGTTTCTCATAGATATATTGAGCTAAAACAACAGGCTCATGTTTTAAATCTTGAACAATCGCATCCTATTCATTTTACACGAGAAAGAAGAAGAATTTATTATTGACTCCATTAAATATTGTATTTTATTATAGATATATTTTTAGATATAATCATTATTTCAATGTATTTTCTGTATAATATAGAATACAACAGTGTATTAAAATTTCTGCTTGTATTCTGGAAAACTAAATTTTACACTACATATATTTTATTTAGGACAGAAATTTAAATCATTTTGAAAAAAATGCAGAAAATTGACCTCGATTTAGAGCATATTATTTTATATCTAGTAAATCTATATGATTTTTGTTGTTTTTCTTCTGCAATATAATTAATTATATACACTAAATAAAAGTTAAATAACTACGCCATAATATGAAAAAAGTTCAACTAGAAGAACAGTATTCTTAACTAGACTAATGTAACTATTATAGTGGAAATTAAGCTTTCAATCTTTACTAAATTAGATTAAAATACAGATGCTTGCATATGTGACAAAACATGAATTTTTATTAATTAACGTTTTAAAAAGGAAATTCTAGTTTATAAAGTAACATTCGAAGGAGATTTCTGATAACGGTCTAGAAGACTTTAGCACAATAACAACGTTGTTTCGTCGCTCACTCTCACAGTAGAAATTACCCTTGAACTTTCTCTTAAAATCATAAAAGTGAAAAATAGACTAACTTATTACTTATTTCTACTACTGTTTTTAAAAAGAATTTAGTATACATCATTATTATATATTACCGTTTCTTTGACAAATAATAAGTAATATACTGTGTCAGTTATAAATAACACGATCAATTTGTCATCAACTCAGCATGTTTTACCTGTTTAGAAAAAAAAAGAAACATATAAAACGTTCTTTTAATGTCAAATACATCAACTTTAGACTTTCAATCATCTTTTTCCTAATTAAAAATGTCCATCAGAAATGATGTCGACAAAAACGACATGAAGCATCGTTTTAATCAAAAGTTAAATGCAGAGACTGTAACTATCTATCATAAACACAATAACTGTATCGTATAGACTTCTTTTTACAGTCATTTTTTTTTTTAATTTCATAGCCAATCAGAATTCAAAATAGTAATAAAATTTTTTATGAGTAAATAAATAGAGAAATATCATGCTGTTACTGTTCTAATACAATAAATTTCTGAAAAATTCACTTTTGATCTATTTAAGGAAACAAAAACTTATTTTTCATTAACGTAGATGATCGTTATCAGTAATATGTTTAAGAAGAAACATATTTCCTTATCATTTTATGCTTGTATAAATTTGTAACAATACCATTCTCTTTCTCAATCGATAGAAAGTGTTCATGTTTTAGCACAACTAGTTGACTTCCCATTACCTGTAAAGTGATAGAATGAAATCAAGCATACGATTTTCAAGAGAATTTTTTTCTATAATGAAAACAATGAATACTTGTTCATCATCAAACGGAAAAGTGAAATATACTTAACTTTAATTAACCTAATTATTTCACATAATACGCTTCTATTAATTTCATGCGAACTGTTTTTATACTTGATCTTCTTCCTACCATATACGCAGCAGATAAATTATTTTCTTTTTGAAAAAGTTTTCTAAAAGTAAGGAAGTACAATTAATCTTCAAGAATCCTGTCTTATTTTGAAAAATAGCTCTGTAATTTCTTATAATGAAAAAATATTATCAAATCTTTAGTACTCTTATATGTTCAGTGATAAGTAAGACCTACTTTTAATGAATATATTACTGAAACTTTATTCGTAACAAAAGATACAAACAATTTTATTTATCGTTGGGAGAAAAATGGTAATTTTAAGTATTTACATCAAAAGTTGTTATTTAAGTCCTTCTGATGAAGGTTCTCAATTCTTCAAATAATAACAGATTTTAATCGGTTCTGTTCAATCATAAAATATTTTAAAACTTTCTCTTAAAAATCACTAAAGTATCAAGGATAGTATTTCCATTCAAAATAAATAATTGTATCAAAAACAGGAACAAATATAAATGTATCAATGTTTGTTTGTAGAGAACAAGATACTATACGTCAACTAATCGAAAGTGAAAACTTAAATGAAACGAATATTTATCGTTACAATGAGAACGTATAAAATGAAAATTGCGGATTTAATAAAAAGTGAAATAGAGAAAATATTCTTTTTAAAAGGAATTAAAGAGCCATTCAAATAGTGACCTATTGATGAAAAAAATTGCTGCCAGCTATCAGAACACAAATACATTCGATCATGCTGAAATTGGTCTCTAAATTATGATTGAACAAATAAAATATAGGCAGTATATATTCATATACACATTTTAATTGAATTAAAGTAGCTTACGGTATTGTTCTTATTTCTTTTTCATCTAAACGTAGCGAAAAAAAAAGAAAAAAAGAAAGCTCTTATCGAAACTATCACCATAAAATAACAACAAAAATTCATATTGAGATATAAACGGTATTATGTAAAATAAAAATATATTTTTCTTTTTTTTTCTTTTTACATATTTTATTGACTCTATAGATTTAAATTATAATATATTAGAGACAGACGAAAAAATTATTGACCATAATCAATTTAATTACTAAAATCTAAGAAAAGTATATTTAGAAATGTATCTCAATGTAGTTTCTCTAACTGTTTTATTGGTCATATATTCAAGCCAATCATTTTTAATATGGGAAAAGATTTCAACTTTATAATAAAAACACTATGCGAAGTTGATTAAATGGACATTTTGACTTTATCAGAACAATAATTTCACAAAAAACTCTTATAATTATGTTTTCTTTTCAGTACTCTTCAAGAAGAAGACATTTTATGGGATAATATTTTCGTCTAAATTCTAAAATTAACTATTATTTTAAAGGACATGTTTTCTCTAAGAAACTTGAATGTTGATCAGTAAATACATTTAAAATTAATCTGTACAATGTCACATTTAGAATGATCTTGTAGATATGAGGCCCAACTCTCATCACTTTGTTCTAATGTTTAAATGAATTGTCTAATTTTATTTAGAGATCGAGGAGTCCTTATCATTATGTTTTTTTGTCTAGGTATGAGTAAGTGAAGCAAGTACAACCTATATTTTTATTAAACCACTTTGTGTCAATCAAATTTTTTTTATGAGAGTCGATTAAAACTGTAAAAACGAAATGTATCTCCCTTTTTTTCTTTGTTTTCTTCATTCATCATTGTCATGATTGTGTAATAAATTCTTTTTTTTGTATGTCGAACTCTATAGAAAAAAATGAAAAAAAAAGAAACTCATGTAAGATGGATTTCACAATATGAAAATGTGAATATTTATGTGCAAAGTCAACGTTTTTTTCTCTCAATTTTTTTTCAATTGTATTCTATATACGTGCACTTACGTTCATGTACACATACATGTTAAATTTATTCAAGTACATATCTCAATTAGAAAAAAAAAAAGTTCCAAACGTTCTATGCGATAAATTCAATGACTGTCTCTTTTTTTTTCTTCTTCTTCTTCTAATGAGTCTTTACGTTGGACAAATAAACTTTTTTTTCGTTCTTTCAAATAGAATAATGGTTGACAGACAGTATACGCTCTTTTTTGTTTTGTTTTTTCTTTTTTTTCTCTCTCTCTCTCTCTTTCGTTCGTTATTAAGACAATGATTGGACATTTATTTCATAAATATAATTTTTTTATGAAATAAAATAAAAAGTGATCCGCATCTCATAATCGACCACTCAATTGCAAATAAAAGAAAAAACGCTATTATTATGATTGATTCGAGAACAACAACATTCAGAAGAAATTCATATTTATTACCTCTATTAACGACAAATTCTTCTCTAATTAAAACAGAAATAGATAATAATGAAAAAACTGAATTAAAAGATTATAATTATTTGAAAACAAAATTTCATGAAACAAATACAAATTTGTACAATATACGATTATCAGAAATAATGTTAGATAATCGATCGTCAACAAAAACATTGTTGTGTGATAATGAGAATACTAATAATGATATAAAATTAAATGAAAATAATTATAATATAGAAAAATCAAATCATTTCTCGACAACAAAATCACCACCAAGAAAAAAATTAAAATTTGGAGTTGATACAATACTTGGAAATGATGTACAATCTGATTCAGACACAAGTGAATCATCAGATGGTGAGGAAGAACAAGAGAGAGAATTAAAACGAAAAGGTAAGTTTATTCTTGTTAAACTGTAGTCTGATACTGGTTATTAATTGTTATGGAAAAAGACTAAATTTTTTTCAATTAAATTGACGGTATATGCGATTATTTTTTATGTTACTTTGAATTTAAAACTAAGATTTTTTGAAATTTTCATCATATTTTTGCTAGTTTTCAGCCGTTTTCTTTGGACAAACTCACTTTTAAATATGGCGGTAGATCGAAAACTTTTCTACACTCGGATGCAAAAGCATTCAAACATTCGAAGAGCCCTAGTCATGTATCTCTTTTTACTCCAAAGTACTCTATTTTATATAGTAAAAATACTAAAGAAACGTGTTCTGTCAAGATATAACCACGATGTGTTTTATATTTTATCATTTAATTTAGTAAGGGTACGAACAGAATCATCCGTATCATCAACATCCTTATCATTTGATGAGCGAACGTTATCTCCATCAAAAGAAACATCTCATGAACGCAATGAATTAACTGCAAATTCTCCTCCTTCTCCAGCAAATGTATTATTATCTCAATTACCACCTTATCCACATTCAATGGCATCTTCCTATAATATGTCCCGATATCCATCGTACAGTCTATCATCATTATCAAATGATTATCACACGAATATCTATAATGCCGATACAAATGATCTTATACATGATCGTTTTTTCACACAATTAACTCGACCACCACTACCTCCAGGATCCTTCGATAATTCAACACCGCATGGCATTTGGAAACCACCACTGCGCCCATTTATTGGTAAGTTATTCAACAAATATTTTTGAAGACTAATAATTTCAAGCTTTAAGAGAAATAGATTTTATATAATTCTGATCGATAGGAAATTTAAATAATATTAAAAAAAAAAAGACTTGTTTATCAATAACAACTAATATGAAACTTTCAGCACTTTAAATGATATCCTTCACTGTATCAAAAATATATTGTAAGTACATAAATAGATTTAACATTTTTTACACTAGAATAACACTCGTTTTTCTAAGCTCAATTTCATTTTTTTTTTTGAAAGGCTTTTAGGAAGGAAATTATAGACTATCTATATTGACAAAAAAATACACATAGAATTTTTCCTTATACAAGGCTATTATTTCCCGCCTATTCAATTTAATTTCTTTTTCATATGTATACAAATATTTTTCAATCATCATTTGTTTTTTATTAATTTTTTTTTCCCTTTTGTTTGTGTATAATTACAAGCGTGCTGTGCCTATATATTATCTTGAACACCTTTCTAAATATATATATATAGGTAATTTAATTCTTGTGTAAACTACATCATCTAATAACAATCATCATCTATATTAGATGTACTTTGCTTGATTTCATAAAGTCAAAAATTTTCTTTTTCCTCTTCTTATAATAAGTCGCTAAGAGTCTACAATAGAATTTGACAAGAACATGTTTTTTTCTCAAACATATAAGAAAATGGTTCTCAATTTCAATTTCATGACATGATCCATTTGAAATATTAAGAGGATGATTGAGAATACATATATCGTTTACAAACATCTTTTTTTCTTCTCTCTATACTACTACCAATCAATCTATTATAATATATTGACCTATCAAATTACATGTATACGGCATAAGAATTTCAAGTAGCAAACGACATCGTTTGATAAACATCAAGCAAACATAATTTAAGTGAATAAGAATGAAACACCTAGATTTTAAAATATTAACATGTACAATATTACCAGTTTGAAATTATTAAAACAATTACAAAAATAGAGAGAAAAACAGTGTGATTACACCTATTAGTTTATTGTACAATTTTATTCAATTTTAAATAATACATTTATAAATTGGATCTCTTGGTAGTTTTAATATGACTGTATAAAATTTGTAATATTTATTGATCAGAATAAGCTCTCCAACAATACGATTGTTCTGTCTTTCGAAACCCTTTGTTATTCTGATCGAAGCAATACATCTGAATAAGATCTCACTAGACTGGCGGGTTATGCTACTGACTGACCTATTAAAGTTTAGTGCAAGAGGATTTACCATGGCTCACAGTTAATAAACGGGTGGTGAGCGATAGTGACTAAGAAAATCATCATTGCTTTAAGATAGCACGTATTCCTTTAAAATACTTTGATGTATGAAAATGTTTGGCTCTAAAAATACTTCAATACTAAGTAGATCTAACATACACACAAATGATGCAATACATTAGTTATTGACACTGTTTCAACGATTCATATCATTTTCGACTTTAAAAATAAACTTTGAAAAAAGTCCAGTCTCTGATATTGCATTTGGAGATCTCTTTTACAAGTAATCTTTATTCAAATCATTAAACACACTGTAAAAGAGCAAAATTTTAATTACAGCACGATTTCTAAAAGTCATGTGAGTTCCACTTAGTTGACTTATTATGAGTAATAGAAAATGGTAAAAAATTTAGCTGATAGACTGTCATTCTATTATTCGACTAACAAAAATTATTTCATCTGATATTAGTCTATTAATCATAGTACTTGACGAATAACAATACTGAACCCAATAGATTTCGAATTGATGAATTGCTACTTGGCCATTGTTCTTTTTTCTTCACTTGTTTAACTACAAACAATGTCGATCATACTTGAAATCAAAAGGTTTTGAAAAAATAAAACCAATTCGCATTATGTATACATACATATATATATAGTTAGTATGACCAGACAGTCAATTAGAATAAAACAATATCAAAATAATGGTGATGTTGATTTTACTGATTTATTATAATTATTCGAATTTTTATATTATTCTTATTAAATTGATTGTGTTCAAATCAAAATTTTCAAAAGCAATACATTTATCTCTCACACTGTAAACAATAGATGGCTTATTATTATTTGTAGTATAGTGGACAATATTAAGCTGATAATCTCATAAAATTTAAGAAAAAATTATTAACTTCTTTTCTTCAAACTTCTCGTACCATTAATACTTACTGTCGTATTTTAATCTTTTTTCTTTTAAAAAATTTTAATATATATCTGACATTTGTTTTATTACATTGGATTCTATTTTTTTAGGTAATCAACATGGCTATTTCTCACATCATCCAGTTGCCAATTTATATTCATCAATGAATTCGATATTTTGGCCATTAGGTTTGAGAACAAAACCGCGACGAGGCATGCTTCGACGAGCAGTGTTCTCTGATCAACAACGAAAAGGTTTAGAAGTTGTATTTTTAAAACAAAAATATATTAGTAAACCAGAACGAAAAAAATTAGCTCAACGTTTAGCACTAAAAGATTCACAGGTTAGTTTCTTTAATCTTTCGTTTCTACTTCAGATTATCATACTTTAGGCTATTTTTATTTTTATCTTTTAAGGTTAAAATTTGGTTTCAAAATCGTCGCATGAAATGGCGTAATACAAAAGAACGTGAACTTCTAACATCCTCTTCCTCATCATCAACAACAACAGCAACGGTAACAACAACTACAGTAAATAATAGTCAAACGTCTGCAACAACAATAACAACGAATGAATTCACCAATAATTTTGATCTTAAACACGCTACAGAGTCAAGAACAATTTCTTCTTCACATGATTCATTATGCAGCTTAAATCCATCGTCATCAGGAGACTGTTGCGAATGTAAAAAAAATGATAATAAAAAAGGAGCACATATTACGCTTGCTGATAATTGTGAGATTGATTTACAAAACCCATCATCAACACTTCGGCAGTTTTCCTATCATGAGCGTTCACCATTAAACAATGATACAAGAGATCAGCGGTGAATAGTTTTGGAACAAATTATGTTTATAATCCATTAATATTATGTATCTGTATTTTTGTTGTATGTTTTTTCGTTTTGTGTTTCATTTTAATTCGATATATATTTTTCTTCTTATAAAGTTATTATACGTTATAATGAGCAAGTAGTTTAATAGTGCAAACGTTATGCAAGATAATCCAGTTTAATGAGCCCTGCCATCTTTGAGCAAAATATCTAAAAGAGCAACATGACAGTTGTTAACAAATCATGTGAAGCATTAAGTATCTAACACGTATGGATCAAAATGAAACTGATGAAAAATTAAAAATATTAGTTGTCAGTCATAAAAACACGGCATTGACAATTGTACAATTAGTCATAAAATACGTTTTTTTGGAAGTTAAGTTAAATACTAAGAGAACTTATGCAGAATAAGTAATTATAAAAAAAATGCGCTAAATTATTTGAGACGAATTAAGGAAAAAGTGTGAAATAAATTGAGAGAGAGAACAAGTAGAGACGAATCAACAGTAAAGCCGTAGTTGGAATTATATCAAATATACAATATCTTTATTCTCTTTTCGTGGTAAATGTCTGATAGACATTCGCAGATGCATGACTCGAGTTCAGTGTATTGCTGAGAACTCAGTCATTTTTCATCCAGATTAAAACAAATTTTACCGTAAGATTTACAAGGCTTTTGTCGACTAAGAAACGTAAAACATTCAAGACTTTCACAATAGAAACCTGCGAGGAGCATGACTAGAATATACATATTGGTCTCTCATTCGAATAACATGCACATATATATGCCGTTGATTTTGATCGAGGTTTTCATTATGAAAGTCTTGAATATTTTACATTTCTTACTAGACAAAAGCCCTGTAAATCTTACGATAAAATGTTTTTAATCTGGATGAAATTGAGATTAATAAACATCCAGCTGTCCTCAGAGTAAAAATACCTTTTGGATTCCAAACGACCATGATCCAGTAAGCATAAGCTCTTGACTAATCTGTAGATAAAATATGTTTCCACAAATTTATCAATAATATTTATAAATCACAATAATTAAAAAACTTTTTGGACTCACATTTGGACTGATAACTCGAATCAGCTGAGCAGCCCAATTGAGGATGAGTACACAAAATAATTCCAGTTGATTGTAAGTTACAGCGGCGTCTATCGCGCCTAAAAGTTTGAAACATAGAGTTCCGGGTGTCATTTTGTATCACCCATAAAAAATCAATTTGTGCAATTTTCTATTTCATATGAAAACTTGGTATAATTAGTCCTAAAAACAATAATGTGCTAGGGCGTATCTTTTGTATTTTGTTGCAAAGTGCATAGATATTCAGCGGTGAATAAACCCTAAAACGTCCTACCTTTAAAACTTATAGCTAAGCGTCCAACTTCTATATTCTAAAAACGTTCCGCTTTCGAATCTTAGCAGGAACCACTACTCTATTTCCAAACAACGTGCACTTCTTCATACGATAACTTCTGCTCTCTTGCTCTAGTTCAACTTGGTATGGCAGCAAAAAACTTTTCAAGGATGCAAGGATGCACCACCTCATTTTTTTATTTGAGACATCATGCCTCAAACACACCAAAGCGTAGACGCCGATAGTGAATTACAAGTATCATATTCCAGGTGATTTTTCTGCACTGCAGATCTGCAAAAAATCTTAGTGGATTCTACAACGATTTTTGCAGATCGAGTTTTTTTGGGTATTGTTGGAACAATTTGTCAAAAATCTTTTGGACAGAAGAGGAGCAACCGTGTTGAAAAGTGCTATCGATGTTGAAATGCATTCTTCCGTTGAAATCTATATCTTCACACCAACTAAAATCCTTCAAATCTATTCGCTTAAAAATACATTTAACAGATGGCGGTTACGGCTTTCTTTCGCTAAACCACGTTTTTGTAATGAGTCGATTGTAGCGCATTGTATAAAAGGAACATCTTTTTCCTCTCCAGTTGCATAATGTTATATACATCTAGATTTCTGTTCGGTTGAGAAGATAAGCTTTTATCTTCGCACAGAAAGCTTTTTTTACTAACGATTTTTCCAATAACTTATTGGTTTATCCTCTATTGGATGTTTATGGATGGTCCACGCCTGCACTGTACACTATGCAAGAAAATATATAGCAAACCGAACATACTAGTAGTAAAAAACGGCAAAAACGTATCTTAATACTTTGATTTCTATCTTCAATACGAAGTAATGAAACTTTTTATGCCAAATTCCTTTTTATACAGTGAAGGGTTACCTAGTACAATATAGGAGTATGCTGGAAGTGAAAGTTAGAAGTTAATCGCTTATATCATTGTGAGTATATACATTATATTCTCTTAGATTTAGCTAACGTGCCTAGTGTATTTTGACCTAGCTGCAAGGACCAGAATGCAACTACTAAAAATCGGAAAAATCAGAAGCGTATGAGAAAGAAATCAATTATACGACTTTAAAACCAAATAGATGGCATGGGGTGAAACGAGCTAAACTTTTACGTTGACTTCTTTGAGTTTTCACTTCTCGAAATGAAATAATCGTTTTAGTAGTATTTATTTCTATCCTTTCTTCAACCGACTAAACTCGGTGAACTTTAGTAAATTCAAAGCGTTGTGAACTTTCGAAATGTATTTTTGTATTGTTGATAGGTAGTATTTGTATCACTATAATCTTTTTCAGATAAGCAAAAGTAGACAACGAATTATGAATATTTCAGCTGTTGTATGTTTGCTTCTTTTTATTGTGACAACAATAACAGTCACTTCATCACTGAACGTTGAAGGTTTATCAAAACGAGTTTTAGTTTTACTCGACAATTTGTCTATTCGTGAATCACATTCATTTTATTTTAAATTATTAAAAGGTATAAATAGTATAACTATTATTTTTTTTATCGAGTACACAATTAAGTGATGAAGACATATTCTATAGCTGTTCACATTCTGATTGATAAACTGATTTGTAGAAGTGACGCTGATGATTGTGTACTTAAATACTAATTCATCCTATTATTTTTTTTATTGAATACATGATTAAATGATGAAGACATATTCTATAGCTGTTCACATTCTGATTAATAAACTGATCTGTAGAAGTGACGCTGATGATCGTGTATTTAAATATTAAATTATCCTATTATTTTTGTTCATTATCTCAAAAATCTCTTCCATTTAGATCGTGGTTTTGAAATAACCTATAAATCATCTGATGATAGTACACTCGAAATTGTCAAATATGGTGAATATCTTTATGATAATATCATCGTTTTTGCACCAGGTACCAAAGGTGAGACACTAAAAAGAATATTTTGATAATATTAATTAAATATTGTTTTTTGTGTTTAGATTTTGGTGGTCGATTAGATGCGGAAATACTTGCACAGTTTGTTGATGCTGGTGGCAATGTACTGATAGCTGGAAGCAATGTTATTGGTAAACGATTGACAAAAACATTATTTTTCATATGCTAATTTTTATTTTATGCTTTGATTTAAAGGCGATGCAATACGAGAATTTTCTGGAGAATGTGGAATTGAGTTTGCCGATGATAAGAGTGCAGTCATTGATCATCTTAATTTTGATTCAAATGATAATGGGCAGGTTTGTGACATAAACAAAGCCCTTTTTGCAAGAGATCTTTGAGAGAAATTTTATCTATACAGCATAATACCTTTTTCCTTTGAAGCATCAAAACAGTGAAAACATTTTTTGTATCTTCTAGCATACACTTATAGTTGCAAGTACAGATAATCTTATTAATTCAGAACTTATTGTTGGTAAAACTAAACAAACTGGTGCACCATTCTTGTTCCGAGGCATTGGGTATGTTTAACCTAGTTTTTAATTAAATAATATGTCATACGCCTTTCCCATTTAGAATGTCAGCTGATCAAGAGAATCCATTACTGTTAGATGTGTTGACGGCATCATCGACTGCTTACACAGCCAATCCCGACGAACAAACATTAGCAGAAGTAAGCTGCTTTTGCTGGTTATATTCAATTTTTTCTGCGACTTTGTTTCCTACACAAGTCATTCTTCCATCTAATAGATAGTTGAGCTTAATTTAAAAATGAAAACTCATTTTTCTGTTACAAAGAATTTCGACTAGAGTAGTGAAAGTAAGAAGTTAACAATACTAAGATTCCAAAAGACAGACAGTACGAAAATTGAAATGTATCACTTTAACTGACTTCTCAATGAATAATCTTCTCCATCTTGATAAATATGTTCTATTATTTTTAGTATCCATCTACTGTTGGCAAACGAACATTACTTGTATCTGTACTTCAAGCACGAAATAATGCCCGTGTTGGCTTCGTTGGTTCATTAGAATTTTTCAGCAACGACTTTTTTGAAGCATCAATTCAAACCGGTAATTCTAAAAAGTAAATATTATTCTCTTATATTGTTTGCAAAAGAAAAAAAGAAAGAAAATTTAATTATATAATCTTAAACGTAGACAGTCTCGATCTGGCAATCAAGAATTAGCATTAGCATTAACTGATTGGCTGTTTAAACAACGTGGTGTATTACGCTCAAGAAATATTCATTATTATCTTTTGAAAGATAAATCATCGCCAAGATATTACACAGTGAAAGATGATATTGTAAATATTAGATTAAAAAACAAGAGTTTATTTTGTTCTTTTTAGTATATTAATTTACTGTTATTCAGATGTTTAGTGTTCAATTTGATGAATTTGTACATGGAAAATGGGTTCCATTTAATGGTACTGATGTTCAGTTAGAATTCGTTCGAATTGATCCATTTGTTCGTGTAACGATGAAGAATAATGGTACTGATCTTTATTTGTGATGGTTTTTTGTTTACCATGTTAGATCTATATTACATATTTCTCTTTCTAGGTGGTAAATTAGAATCACAATTTCGTATTCCAGATGTGTACGGTATTTTTAAATTTGTCGTCGATTATAATCGGATTGGTTATACACATTTATATTCTGCAACACAAGTATTATCATCCTTTTTTTTTCTTCGATTGTGCACTAATCAGTTTGTTTCTTTTTTGAAGGTTTCGGTGCATCCTTTATGGCATACAGAATATGAACGTTTTATAGCATCAGCATATCCATATTATATTTCAACATTTTCAATGATGGCCGGTGTATTTTTACTTAGTTTTTTGGTACTTTATCATAGAGACGATATACCGAAGAAAAAGGCTGAATAAATTATGGATCGAATAAAGGAAAAAAAACATGAAAAAAATTCTCGTTTTGTCGTCTAGACGAATTATTTTTTGTTGATCAAGTGTTCTTTATGGGTGATAATAGATAGCAGTCTCTGACTCTTCAATAGTGCATTCATTCTTTTACTTTTTGCCATTATATTTACACTAATCTTTGCTCTTGTTTGCTTGTATAATAGAAAAGACATTATTGATTACTGGGCTTGTTTTATTTATTTGTATGCTTTCAAGTTATATTTTTCTTTTCATTCCACTGTTGTTGTTTTTGTTATTCAAAATTTGAATAAGTTTAAAAAGAAACGTCTTTTACAGTATCGAATTGTTAGGAATATATAATTTCTCTTCCAAAGATGAATATTATGGTACTCTGTAGTTGCTCACAGATATATTTTTGTACTTGTATCAGAAGCTAAGAAGGAATTACTCTAAATTATCTCGCTGCTTAGCAATTTGTAACCGTCATATCTTTCTTGTCAAACTGTTAATCTGTGATTACTAAAGAAAAGCTTGGCTCTTCCATTACCACTTCCACTAACGTGTAAGATTTTGTAGAATGATACTCTTTATTTTGTATTGATGTTTTTCATTTTATGTTTATCTAACTAAACACAATCAACAAACAGCAGACAACAAGCGTCTTCTAAAACGCATTTTACGCTGCATCTGACTCATTTTTATAACATTGTCTAAAAGTACGATTAACGACTTGATTTGACCGTGATCCATGATTAAAATGATTTTCTACGTTCTTAAACAGAATTGGGTAGTAAGGATTGCCTATGAACTGATAGGAATACGAAAGGTTCAACACAATTCTGAGATAGGTACAATCAAGTGAAATTGTATCTAACTAAAACTACTGTGAAGAACTAAGAAATAAAACTAGTATTTTCCAGTCAAAGGCTTTAAATAAGCGATGAGCGTGAACTAAATTGCTATCACGAAAAAGACAGTTAGATGCAGATTGTAAACAAAGTCAAAATCGAAAAATATCCGCTCTGAAGATTCTCATGAATTGAATTCCCACTTTGAATGCTGCAACTGCCATAAAAAGTCATTTTAAACCTTGAACTTGATCAGCTTAAATCATAGGAAATAAGTGCCTTTAACTTACTCGAATAAGAGATGGCAAAGTGATTTTTATCAGCATAAATGCTTTTAAAGCTAACGCAAACATGTAATTTGTTTTCTATACGGATAGAAAAACAAGCGAAAGAAGTCCACGTAAGTCCAATAAAAACTATAAAAGTCCAAAGTTCGCTATTTTTCCCTTGCGTTATCCTTTGTTTTGATAGATAGAAAGGGTCTAAAATTCTGGATTCGTATTGTTTCTGCTTCCAGTATCACAAAACTTACTTAAGTTCGCTACAGCCTAAGTAAAAGTGTAAATAAAACGAAAACCACCATTAGTAGGGATGCACCGGTTAAAAACCGATATTTTTAGCTTTTTTCGCGAATAGATTGTATGAAGAGTATGGCATATTAGATTTTTTACAATTTTTAAATTTCTCTATAAAATGAACTATGGGGGGGAATCCTTCCATCTTACCTCTTTTCCTTGCAATCGTCTTTCTACGATGAGCTCCATTTATCGGTTTCGATTACATAATCGAAATCGATAAATGGGACTCTTATGAAATATTGTTTTTATAAGTGTTGGATCGAGATGAAGATTGCTCTTATAGAGAAATGTTTGTTCTACAAAATTGAGTTGTAAGAAAAATTTAATATGTCATACTCTTCGTACAATCTAATTTTTGCGAAAAGAGGATTAAAAGATCGGTTTTTAACCGGTGCATGCCTAACCATCAGTTAGAAGATAATTGCATAGGGCAGATAAAAAAAAGACAAAATCACTAGTGAAAGTACTCATAACATGAGTACGACTTATTCACACATTTGTGTATGAGTACTCAAAAGTCGTACTCACATAGCCAATACTCTCACATAAATACCCTAGTAGCATTCCCGGCTTCATTTCGTAGGAAGAATACAGCCTCATCTTGCCGCGATTTTGACAAGAAATTTGAAACTTAACGCGAGATCGCTACCGCGATCGCACCTAATCTTGCTATTTTTCCCGTATAACAAAAATTTCATAATCTTGACGCGAAAATGTTTTTGACGGGATCGCGCTGAAATCCTGCTAAGATCGTGGCAAGATTGAAACGGAATCCGAATAAGATCGGGCAAAGGAAAAATCTTCTCAAGATCTTGTCGCGAATTACACACGAACTTGATTACAATTATAAGATCGCGATTTTATTTTGCCAAGATCAGCATTTTTTCGTTACACGGGAAAAAACCGCGTTCACGGTCAGATCTCAGCAAGAATGAGATGGGAATACCAATAGGACTGACTACTCTATGAGTAAAAAAATACAATCGTACTCATCTCATTTTTCGGCAGAGTCCGACTTTGAGTGCATTTACTAGGATAAGTATAGCTAAAAAAGAGTTTACGCTATATTTTGAATTTCCTTAATCAGTATGTATTCTTAACTATGTCATAGTTATATCAGAAATCAATTTAATCATTTCTGTAACATGATAGTCGGGATGATTCATACCCGATGGAAAAAGCAAAAGTTCTTCACGGTTGGATCGATTTTGTGTTCTAACAAAATACTTTACTTGAATACCTTCAGTAAGATATAACGGACAGTACCTTCTTGCTTCAGGTTCTGATAATTCCTACATACTTTTATGAGATACAAACGCCATTGTTCAGCAGCGTTTGTAGAAAGAGTGGTTACTTCTTTTATGTAACTTGGTAATCTTAAATCAGATCCAATTTTCGAAGTAAATAGTTAGTAAGTGTTTGTTTAATTAAAATTAGAATAGTTACCATCATAGTTTCTGCTTTCTCTGTAAAAACAAACTGTTGAATTCAGAGAAGTGTAGGCAAATGTTGCTTTGTCGTTCTATGCAGAATTATGCATAAATCGATACTGAGTAGCAGCAATATTACAAAAAATAATTCGTATAGTCATAATTTTCAATGATATATTGCATGGATCATTCAAAAAATGTATTTTTCATTAAAAAAAAGTGAAATATCTAGAAGACGAGTTTATGATGGACAATGTTTCAAAATAGTACTTGTTTCATGTTTTGTTGAGATTGAGATGTGTGTTTGTGTGTAGATGAATAGTTTATCGAAAATAAACTGTTACACTATAGATATTCAATGTACATTAGTGGTACGTATATTGGATGATATTTCTGTTAAATCATATGTCTGATTTCGTACGTTTACATTCTTTTCGTTTCCATGTTGATGTGGTCTCCATGCCTGATGATGAATAGTAACAAAGGCGTATTTATTGCTTGGAATTTTTACCTTGAAAGAAAAATATTAGACAGATTTATTACTATGTTTTTCTAAGATGTTTAGATATTCTCACCAAATAATGATAGTTCATGCCAGAGACAACTTGTGTAGAAATTTTTGTCGGTTTTGGTTGAAAAGTACTTGGAATATTACGATATTTTTCTTTTAGTTTTTTTAGTATTACTGCTTTGTACTAAAATGGTAAAAAGAAGAAGTGAGGTCACGTTCAAGTTTATCGATTTAATTACATCATCAAATAATTTCTTCTGTTTTGGATTGAGAGTATCATTCCATTTAGCATGACCACCCGTCATCGCACTACATGTAAGAGAAAAGAGAATGTAACATTGGAGAGATATTGAGCTAAATGTAATGTCGCTCTTGTCTCTTTCTCTATTCAAAACCCGTCTTGCAGAAAAGGACTAAATTTAATAATAATTAAAAGAGTATCATCAACGTACTGGGGATTAACATTATTATTCTTCGGTGATGTAAGCAAATATGGTTTTTGTTTATATTTCATTGTTGTTGATGGAATCAAATCTTTGCGCCTTTTCATTGTTGTTGATGTACTCAAATCGTTGCGCAATTTCATTTTTTGAATATCTCCATGTATTTCAATAACGATTAAAAAAATTAGAAATAATATGAGATAAATTGCTGAATATGAGTGCATTTTAGCGTTCGACAGTTAATGTTAAACTTAAAAAACAAAAAACGGGCCCAGAAAACCTTGTTTCTTATTATGTACTAAGAATAAAACATATATTATTATATCAGTTAACAAGAAGAAGATATATCTAATATTGTTGTATATAATATAGAAAAAACGAAGTATATATGACAGAACTTAGCTAAAAATACGAATCTATAAATATTCCATGAAGATGCACTGAAAATACTTACTAACAACATATAACACTGTTTGTACTTAGAAAATTGTCATACATCGAATAGAATGAAATACCTCATGGCGAGACACAGCTGTCTGATCTTTTACTAGTAGAAAATATCGGAAAACAGAGGTTTTCTAAATTTCATTTTGAAAATACTGAAAGAAAATGTACACATTTTCTCTCCAATCCTCTAGTATAATTTATCATAGATGAGGTTATCTCTCCTTTTCTTAGAAATAAAATCATTCGAATCATTAACATCATATTTTCATTGTAAATTTGAATTTTTAGTCATTATCTTCGATATCTGTATGTAAGACAAAGACAGACAAATTAGAATGAATGGAAGAATTTTGTATATATATTCGTTTCCTTTTCACTTTCTCATTAATCTTTGAAAATGACCCACTGTGTAGATCGAAAGCTCAGATTGTGTTCGTGTTTTGAATAAATACAATAAAATGATTGATGAACTAGTACGCTTAGAAAATAATAGTTATTGCTTAAGAGCTTTTCCATTTAATATCTGCATAGCTTTTCTACTTGAAAATAAGCATACTACTTTCTACATCTAGACAGCTTATAAGATGTATCTCAGTGAGAAAGAAAGTCTGTTTTCTCTAAACGTATCTTTGTTTTCCATTTCGCACTTGATCATTATCAATCGTTGTTTGAACAATGATTGATGTGGATATGACAGCAGATATCAATTTCTTATGTTTAGAGAAAAGAATATGTTCTCATCATTTTTGAACGATCACAATTAGTTAGTTAAAATTGAACAGAAATATCATCTGTTTATAGTAACACATTTTCTTTCTTTCAAAGATTAAGTGATTTGTATACGTATCAATTGTTTATTATTGTTTAAAGTACAGTTTTCCGAATTTACTGAACCGTTAACATTCAGTTCATCATCTTCATGATCATATCAGATAGATATTTGTTTCTCTAATCTCATTTCATTATTTAGTTATAAAATTCGTCAGCAAAGCAGAGAAAAATTTAACATTAATGTCAGTGATATAAACATTCATCTATGGCATTTTACCTATGACAAGTAAAAGGCAATCACCTTCTGTAATTAAATGAGATCAATTTTTACTCTATTCTAGTTCTAATTTAAGTTTTATTTGTTTTCTCATTTGTAAATGATGATTATTAGCGTTGATAGACCAGTTTAAATTATAGGTAAATATACGATTCTTTAATCGACAAATTCTTTTTCAATTTCTCTTTTTATTTGAGTTTTAAGATCACATAGCATTTCTATGTCTCTCTCTGTCTCTTCTTCGTTTTATATATAGATAAAATTATAAATTCTTACTAATCTTGTATAGACTTTTTCTGCTTTTCTTTTCTGTTTCTCTGTTTCAAAAAAAGAAAACAGAAAAGTTGAAGAAAAATCATTTTAGTGGACAAAATCAAAATTCCGATCTGATATATAAAATTCGTCCATACAAATCGAATGTATATGTTTCTTCTTTTATAATTGTCGAAGCTGACCATTATCTATCTTATCTCTAGATAGCGTTAATATTTATTTAGTAAAATATTATTATTTTATCATAATTGAATGGAAAGATCCATGTATTATTCATTCATCTACTTCCTCTTCAAGACCTTGCCACGTCGTATTTTTCGTGCAATAAAGTTTTTGATTAATTTAAAAACGTTAACGTTAGCCAATAAAACAAAACAATTTATCAAGCAACAACAAACCATTAACGAATCAAATCCTATTAATAACAATCAGTTAGTGAAGTGTATAGGCTCGAGCGAGCGTACAACTACCAGTGGATTAATTCTGCCTACAATTCAAAATATTCACACATCTGAGCCCATACTTGCAGTATCAAATGATTATGTATTGATCAACGAACGTACCAGAAAACGTAATCAAATTATTGTATATGATGAATATTTAAATTATAGATCATTGAAATTTCCAAGAAAAATTACAATCATAGAAACTGTTCATTTTAGTGAAAATAAGTTTTTGTTACTTACTGAGACACAATTATTTATAATAGATGCTAAGATTATGAGTTCGATCGAAGTTATTGAAGAAATCATTCCATATGAAAATGCAAAAATATTTAAGTCATGTACATATAATATTAATGATAACTCATTATTTTTATCCTATGCTACATGGGGTGGAGAAATTGAACGATGGAAACAACAACCTAATTGGAAATTAGTTAATCAATACATGCCAACACAAACAACAATGACTGAGTATGAATATATTAGCAATATTAAAATGAACAATAATCAATTATTGGCAATGACGATATATAATTCTGTTATCGATCAATGGCATTTGGAAATTCGTGCAATTGAAACTTTAAATAAATTGAAAACAATATTATTACCTAGAAGTGATTTTGATTATTGTTTATCATTGATGAATTATGATCGATGGTTAATATACAATAAATATTCAAATGATTTTTTGTTAGTGGATCAATATGGAAAAAAACAAACTGGAAACTATGGACAACCGATAAAAAATATTGCACTATTCAGATACAATAATTTAATTGTGCGCACAATGGAGAAACTGCGTATAATTATAATAGCAGATGAAGAATAGTAAAAAGTTTATTCTTGTTTAATTGTGTATTTGTTCAATCCTTATGCTACTACAAATAGAAGCATTCCAAATAATAGCTTTCTACAACTGAATTTAGATCGAACATAGGATGTATAATTATGATGTTTATTTAACTAGTTTTGTACAGCTTTTTTATATATTGCATATTTAACCATATTGAAAAAACGTTCTCAAACGAAAAGGCGATTGAAAATGGTAAAAGTGTATGTATTAACTGGTAAATAGCGAAACCATGGTTTTCAGTGGTACGAACGTGACAATTCAGAGTAACCATACGGATACAATTTGACTTTAAAGATCCTTAATAAATGAAAAAATAGATCATCGAGCTTGCCGAGTCTCTTATCAATGTTTGTTTTCATTATAAATTCCAAAACTTCAAAATGATCATCTCCCTTCGATGAAATAATCCATTTTAGACTATTTTCAGACAAAACAAAAAAAATTCGAAACTCACCCAAAACTGCCTCAAACACTTCAGAATATACATTGTTCTAGCTGCTCTATATGCAGATAAACGTGAAGGTACGATAAAGTAGAAAAAAATGTCTGATATCTTCTTCGGATCGGTCCGTGCTTTTCTTTTATGGATAATATAGTCAGAATGTTTAAATCGTCTGTTGTTGATATGGTCTTGAGTTGTTGAGCAGTTCTACTTCTTCAAGTGAAAGACCGCTTGTTTACTCAATATATACGGCCTAGAGGTCTTCGGGACTGTCCCGGTTCCGGTCTCATCCAGGTCCCGCGAGACTTTTTACGGGACCGGGACCTAGAGATCTGCGGGATGGTCCCGATCCCGCAGAACTTTTAATACGACCGGGACCAGGTTTTTTCGAAAATAGTCTTGTATGGAGCATAAAAATTTCTTAGTTTCTGTGCTTTGTATGTAAGCACCAGTTCTGCGAGAAAGAACTCATAGAAAATTCTAAAAGTCTTCAATTAATACCACCCACGCATGCTGTTCCACATTACAACGCGCTGACTTTCAAACTATCAGCGCTACTTTGAAAAAATATTTTCGGGATCACGGGACCGGGACCAAAATTTTTTAGTCCCGCAGGCCTTTAGTACGGCCAGGTTTTGTTTACTTTTTAAAGAGCCTTATAAAATGATCATATTTTCAAAAACTTTGCCGTTTTCTTTGAGGCAGTTAATGGTCACGTGACACTAAAATGAAATGATCATAGTTTTCCTATTGATTTGTTTTACTCGTCCGCCTTCTCAACCTTCTCGAAGAACGGTTCGGTTCCTTTTATGTTCTGAATCAGTCATTCATTTTACTTATCTCTGAGTGTAGACCTACAGATCTAGCAGAAAAAATTAATAATACTAATATACAAATAAACACGCTAAAATTATTTTATTATTATTATTAATATACGATTGACAAACATCGCCTAATTAGCTCAAAAATCAGGTCATTGTTCTTCTGTTAGATAATCAATTAAGGTATAACGATCCAGTGGGTTAGGATAGGATAGATACACAGTTCATTCAACATAAACATACATTTAATGATCGATATTTAGTAAAGTATTAATTATAAATGCATAGTTCTAACTTTATTAATGCAGTTATTCTCTCTGACTTAAAAATGAGCATGAAAGTTGATATCGATCATGATAGATACCAGAGTGGCAAAAGTGATATCAAATCGATCTGGCTTCGTTCGATATGTACTGTGCACTGATATCACCGTCAAACTGAAAGGGAGCATTTTTTCATCAAATCATTACTTTCTGAAGACTTAAATCAAAAATGATACGCATAAAGTCTAAATTGTTCTTTTCACTGTAAAAAAAGTATGCCAGTTGCATACCACTTCGGATGAGTTTCCATATCGTCGATTTCTTAATACTTGCGACTCAATGTGGAGCAGATGAAAACTGCGTACACTTGCACTGCTGTACATGGCAGCCAATAGCGATACTCTTGAACTATTAGTTTACTGCACGATTGTGTCTGATGGGATCCTGCCGTTATAATGCACCGCTACTATACTATTTAATAGTATAGTAGCGGTGCATTATAAAGGCATTAATAGTATAGTATAGTCGCAAAGTTTGAGAGTATAATAGTAACTATTATACTCTCAAACTTTGCGAATTTTCAACTCTTTTCTGTATTTTGAGATCTCTTGGGACTCTAGAAAATCTATCCTCAAAGTTATGATTAAAACGCCGCTAGCTATATTTCGATTTATTTTTTGGAAAAGTGGATCTCGCCGTTTTAATCATAACTTTTTGAGGTTACATTTTCTAGAGTCCGAAGAGATCTCAAAATACAGAAAAGAGTTGAATATTTAATTTAAGACGTTTCCGAGCTGTCTATGATTCCACTATGTTTTACTCGGACTTTCTTCGAGAACATAGTGCAATCAAATTTTAATGCGTTCGTCGAGCAGACAATGCTTTTGTCATGTTATAATCTCATCTGAAAAGGAAAAATCAGTATGAATACAGAGGCAGATGGCAAATTTAGAGGATGTACACAGCAAATTCAGCTCTCTGTTCTCTTACCTAAATAGGACACATTTTCGCTAGTCACAAAGTTACACTATCGGATTTTTGGACAAGTTTTCTTTTGAGACACATCTCTTCACAGATTAACTAAGCCTGTATATGTCACAAAAAAGAAAGAAAAACAACTTTTGATATAAAAGGGTCTCTTAAAAGGAATGTTTCTTAAGATAGCTGAGACGCTGATTTCATCATGTTTTACCCGGTTTTCTCTTCGGGAACATAATGCAATCAGGGTCAATCATTCACCTCAGACTCACTTTGAAGTTGAGACCAAAACTTGTACACAGTAGTTTTATTAACACGCCCTCTCTTTGTCTAATTTGCCTGTATGTCTCAATTATGGTTTGCCATATAACTGGCACCTGATCGCAGAATAAAAGTGAGAATGGTTAAATGTTTTATAGTTCGCCTGTGAGTTTTACCGTAAGGTAGCGTTTGCCATATGTGAAGAAAACATTCACGCTTGGACTTTCAGAGAATGTATATCGGTAGATATTATCGCTAGGATCAGTTAGTTATTAGAGCCAATCTAATATTCTGCGAATGAGGCGGAATGGCTGAGCCCTAATCCTCCGTGCGTCAAACAGAACCGAACTGATCATCGCTACATCCTGAGAGTCACTAACGGCAAAGCGATATTACACCGAGGATACTCACAATTGTTATAGCATCAATCTTTCATGCATTTCTCAC